GTTTTTTGTTTTTTGTTTTTACCAGAATAACTTCTCTGTTCCTTACTAAAAGTGCTGCCTGGTTCTGCAGCAGACTGCAGCTTTCTCCTCTCAGCTGGCTTTGCCACAGCTCTAAGGATTTGGCTCAGCTGTTCTAACCCCTGCTGAAGGGCAGGGTGGGGGCAAGAGCAAGGCAGGACTAGCCAATACCAAGAGGAAAAATATCACAGGAGAAGCCTGCCAAAGGAAAGAGACCCCCAGCAAAACAGGGAGAAGAGGCACCTCCAATAACTCTGGACCGTCCTCATTTACACAGGGCACTTCTGGCACTGTAAATGTAAAGTACAAGCACCCACCTGTTACAACTGTGCATTTGCTTTTATACAAGTGATGCACATGTCCTCCCTAGCCAAATACCAGCACAGCAAGCAACCCAGCACCTTCTGCTTGTATTGAAGAGGCGACTGTCCAAACAACACATTGTGGTCCTCAGAAACCTAGGGTAGCTGCTACCCACAAGCTCCAAGTCCCTTTGCTCCAGTCTGAGGGATGCACATGCTCTCTTCCCTTCTTGCAGCTGCAGGAGAAACGTAGGAATACAATGAAAGCAAGGAAATGCTGAGATGGAGCATCCTTCACACCTACCCCAGTCTTCTCCACAGTTTTCTAGCAGTAAGGAGCTCTTTGGTTACTCATATGGTCCAACTGCTGTGGTGGATGAGACAAATATCCTCCCCAACAGAAATCGAGTCTCCCACTCAATAATCTGGATTAACTAAATCTGTCATCCAGTTTCTCCTTCAACCTAAATGCACACACTTACCTCAGTAACCTGTTCTGTGCCTTGTGCTCTGGCATTCAGGACATGCAGCTCCACCACTCCGCCCTCTGCTTCCCTCCCTCCACTACATTCTCCCCCTCCCTCATGCTTTTCATTAGACTAGTCAGTTGCAGAAAGATTAGGAGACTTTCAGAAGTTTCATCTGCACAGCTTTGAACATGGGGCCTCCTGCTCTCCGAGCGAAAACCAAGCCAACCTTCTTTACAGAGAATGTTCCTGGAGACCTAGACCCCAGGACTGTCTTCAGACAAGTCCTTCATTTTCAACATTAAGAAGGTAACTTGAATCACACCCAGTCTTCAGTTATCCCAGCTACACCAAACAGTTCCTATTTACATAGTGCTGCCATTTCAGCACCCCAACCAAGCAAGCAGATGCACTGGAAACCTCCAAGATGGGATATTTTCTTCATATTTAGCTGAAGATGAGTAAAACTTTCCTGCATGTTGCACCTTAATATTTCAGCATCTTTTTAATCTCTCAGCCCCCATGTAGGATAGGCAGCCACTTGAAAAGCTATTTGACCATTTAACAGGACATTCAAAACAGTATTTGAGTATGTCTGAAAACCATTTTTGCCCAACACTTACAAATCTGTCCATGGATTTCAACAGCACAGGTAATGAGAACCTTTGGAACAACCTAGCAACAAATGCAGCTGAGCTTCCATCACTTGAAGGCTTTTTAGCAATCAAGGAGGATGCTACACTGTAAGTCAATCCCACGTTGTGCTTGATACAGGAGCCCCTAGACAAGATTCTTGGCTGAGGCTTAGAAGGGATGATAGTGATGGTCCATTCTGGCTTCAATTTGTTAATTCTTTTGAAGGGTTACTGAAAACAGTTTGAACTGCAACATTTCCCCTTCCCAGCACCAGAAGCCCAACATGGCTGGATTGTCTTAATGCACAAGAACCAGAGTGAAGCTCATTGTTACTGGCCAAGCTGAGTGAAAAGCAAAATGCACAGCTGGTAAATACACAGGTTGGATTCTTACTATCTTTTTAGCATCTGTGTTGCCATTAGTAACAAATGAAGTACACCATACCTCCTTTCACAGATATATTTAACATGGCAGCAATCCTTTAGGTGTCCCAGACAAAGGAAATGCTTTCTTGTTCAAATGCCTTCCCCACAACAGCATCTCTGCTGAACTTCTTTCCAAACTTACATGAGCAAACGGCTGGTGTTCCTCTCTTCAAACCACGTAGATGGTTCCAGGAGAGTAGTTACTGTTAGTTCACACCTCTACATTACAATTAAGCTTCTGAATAGTATCACCGATGTTCAAGCCCAAACCTGGTGAATGTTCAGTAAGGACACATAGGAGGCTTCACTCCACTTCTACCTCTTAAACTTAGCATTCTCGCAGATTCCCCAGGTATCTCATCAGCCAGCATCAACACAGGCTGCATGAGGGAAAAACCTCCCCAGTGCTATGCCAGGCAAGAGATTTTTCATACCGGTTGAGGCTCAGCCCAAAGCAACAGCACCCAGCTCCCCTTTGTACTGTCCCAACTACTCCCCGGCAATATAGAAACATGCCCTCACATCAATACCACAGCAGAGAGAGAGAGAGGAGGGAATCTGTCTAAGAAAACAAGTGTTTAATCAGGAAACGAGAAGAGACAAGGGATAAGAAATCAATTACAGGAGAGCAGTACCCCAGCCAAAAGGAACACGATTGTACAACTCAAAACGACCAGGATCAGAACATCCTACGGACCCAGCAGTGCCCCGGGGGGAACACTCCTGGGAAAGAGCCCAAGCACTTCAACAAATCCTCCAGGCGGCCGAACACAGTCCTGGAGCAAGCCTGTCCAAGCCCCTGCTTCTTCCAACAGCAGCTGCTGTGGAGACTTGAAGGCAGCTCTAGCAGAAAGGAGCTCCCTGCCACTCCAACCTCAGCCTCTCTCAGCAGGAGATGCTGAAGAGAACGGCACGGGAGCACTAGCTGTGCAGATAGCAGTCCCAGCCTCTCCTGATGGGAGGCAGCCTATGAAGGAAGAGAAGCCCATAAAAAAAGTTTACATATTTATAAATGCCAAAATAAATATTTGAAGACAGACTCCCCCCACCCCTCACACGCAAACACTGCGCGCCGCTCGTGGGGCAGCCTCTGGGGCACAGGGCAGCCAGCTTCACTTCCTTACTCCCTCGTGCTTTCAAGGCCCATGGCCCACTGGGGAGGAGGAAGAGTGAGCAGGCGAAGCAGAGTGCTGATGTGCCGCGGTGCCAGAGGAATGTCATGGTATAAATACACCAGATCAGTGGTTGCCAACAATTTAAAACTAAAATAAAAAAAAAAACAACACCATAAGGAAGGATGGTGTGAACGGAACTAAAGCTAAACCAGGGCTGAGAGCTGCAGGTCCATAGGGCTCTGCCAGCCATCATGGCGAGAAGGTCGTCATTTCCAGAGAGACCCTTTGCCACAGCTCCTTGGTCTGCTTGCTCCGCTTTAGATTCTGGAGGATGTCATTGAACTGCATCATGCCCATGGGCGTCAGGCAGAAGGCGCTTCTGGCGCTGCGGATGGCATTCACAAAGTCATCATAGTCAGCTGGAGTGAGGTGGATCAACCGGTGGTGAATGTACTGCAAGGGGAAAGGGAAAGAGCATGACAGTATCCACTTGCTTGCCTACTGCTGGCAGTGAAGATCAGGGTAGGGCTCAAAAGCTTGCATATGAAATATAAAAGGTTCCCAACACCCAACAGCAAGCCCAAGACTCATGGCCATACCACATGTTACACTCAGGATGAGTTAAGTTAACTGCATTTAAGACTGCTAGTAAAACGTGCCAAATACTAGTTAGGACTTGTCATGCGAGGACTACCTCCAGATTGCAGTAAGTACCCACATTCAACTACCAGACTGCTCCACAGAAACTCTACCAGTTCAAGATGCATGTGATGCAGGGGCTGAGACCGACAGTCAGCTGATCATTGATCACAGCCCTAGCACCACACTGGGGCCAGTTTAAGACTGTCAGCAAGACACCTGGCTTGCCCCACAGATTCAGCAGCAGGAGCTGCACCCTCTCAGGCTCAGCTCCCTATGCCTCCCCTCCACCAGCTGAGATCTGGCTTGTCCTGGCATGCTGACAGAAGGTGCCCTAGTGCTGAACACTTAGGCACACAGTGGCAGCAGGAAGGGGGCTCCCAAGCATGGGGGCTGCACATCCATACAGGCAGATGGGCAAGCTTCACCACCCAGTATTGGGTGGGGGCACAGCCAACTCCAGCCCTGTCCAAAGTAAGCTATACTGTGCAGCTGCTCAGAACATGTTTTAACAGCTTGTAATACAGCACAGGGATGCTCACTATTCACACATCATCCTTCCTGCTGCCACACGGACAGGGAAACTGATGCCAAGTCACTACAGGACACCTTCAGGTACCTGAATCTGTCACTTTCCCATCTGTTTCTTGGCTGAGGTCCTAAAGCAGCAGTCCACCCCATGCAAGGGCATTTCTGAAATACACTTCAAGCAAGGCTGCAGTGCCCTTCATGCAAGGGCTCCGGTACCACAGACTGCCACTAGGTGGCAGAACAGTGTATTCTATGTAGACAGGTCTAGTCTCATCCCTCTTTCGCCAATTTAGTCACAGCTGCATCTGCAGAGGCCCCACACACCTCTCTGCCCTGACTGCTCTGGCCTAGCACAGCCTGCCCCAGCTGGATCACAGTGGGAGCTCTCACCTTCCAATAAAACCCGGAGATATCTACTCAGTGGGAGAGCAACCAAATGGCCAGCCTACCACTATCAGTACTCCACATACCCACCTATAGAGTGTGAGAGGGAGAAGGAAGACAAGCCCAGCCTACAGACTGGACGAGAAGAGAGACAGCCGGACAGGGAGGGGAGACCTAGACTGGAAGAGAGAAGAATGCCAGAGAACGGGAAAAAATACCTGGTGCTGGAGCCCAATGGGGAAAGAAGAGAATAATAAATTGGTGCATGAAGCAGGGAAGAAAAGTTCCTCCAGACAAGTGGACACAGAAGCAGGCACCTCGAGGCAACATTCCCAATGGTGGGTGTGGATGGAACCAGCATAGGAAGACAGTACTGGGTCTGGTTTGGACCATCTCTCCCCAGGTCAGCCCAATCTGCTCTGCGCCCTAGTGCCAAAAGAGACTGCCCATATGGATGGACTAATTCAGAGAGTCAGACAATCCCAGTGAATCTGGGACCCCAGGTGCTCCTCCTATCCTATGCACTAGGGCACTACCAGAGTGAGCAGACAAACAGGTCCAGCAGCTGGTTTGGCACGTTACCTGCATGTATGCTTGCTGGCACCTTTGTACCAGCTGGTGGAAGGCTGGAGTGCGCAGATGATTGTGGACATGGGCAGGGTTGAGCCTCTGCAGAGCTTCCATGATGATCTCCTGCAGCACAAAAGGGCTCAGCACGCCCTTGGCTGCACCAACACAGAACTGATGCACATAGTTGACACCTGCACAGAAAGGAAAGATCATCATGGAAGGTGAGAAGAATGGGGAATACAGCTACGCCACACAAGAACTGGGGCCTGGCCAGCATCACGCACTTATGCAGCGCCTTGGAACTGCATCTCTATAGATCTCGGGGAAGCCACCATTGCCTGGACTAAGGGGCTGCTGCCATTCTCCACAACACTCCAGGAGGAGGGCACTAATGCTCTTTCCTGGTACACCTATTCAGTTCTGTGGCCCATGAATGTGGCCTTTCCACCAGGACAGACCCTTCAGTGCACACCTGCCAAAAAGTGCCAGAGAACTGCCCTATTCCTTACCTAGCTTGGCAGCTAATCCCAGGAGCCATTTCACATCCTCTGTGTACGGCGGACTGCGGGAAAAGTTGTTGGGATGATCGTTGTGAGCTCTACGACCAAGCATCTCCAGTGCCAGCATTCCTGCATGCAGGAACAAAGAGCAGCTCAGCCAAGCAGGAAGACGCAGCCTGCCCCAGGGAGACACTGCCCTCACACCCATTCACCACTAGCTGCTCCAGCTCTATTACAGTGCCCCAGTCTGACAGGTCACACCCTTGGAGGCAAACAGCCCACAAGAGAGAAATGAAGCAGCCTGCAGGCAAAGAGGTCTGATGAAGGGGAGTCAGCCACCCCATACTAGTCCCAAGCCAAGGGCTGGGGTGCCCTATATAGCAGTCTATTCAGCAGTGCTGTGAAGGAAGCCCCACTGCCAGGCCAGCTGCTCACAGGACTGAGCTATCAGTTTGGGGTCCTAGTAGCAAGTCCTAAGAGTTCTGCTAGTGCAAGGGTAGGCAATAATTTGGCCCTGTGGGCCACAGGCAGTTCTGGGGAGCTGCCACAAGCTAGTCAGCAACTCCCCCCCCACCACACACTGCATACCCTGCGGCTCCTCCCCGCCACTGGCAACAGTGCAGCCCCAGGCCAGACCTGGCCTGCCCCACATGCACTCAAGACTCACCCTGGCCAGAGCAGACCAACTAGAATCCGCACGCAGAGGCACCAACCCCTGGCCTGCCCCATGCCTGCCTGCCCACGCTGAGCAGCACCAGCAGCCAGGCAAAAGCTGCTGTTTGGTGTGGGTAAAACATAGTTCCTCCCCCCCACCGCCTCTGGGCCCTTTTTGCTGCAGCCACCCAGAGCCCATGCCCGAGCTACCCTGAGGCTCCTCTCCACCACCATCAGTGCCTCTGGACTACCCAGTCAGGCAGCCCAAGCACAGGCTCCAAGTGACTGTAGCAGGAAGAGTCCAACAGCAGCGAAGGGGAGGGGCTGCTTTTCTTTCACACCAAGCAGCAGATTCTGCCCAGCCACCACCACTGCTGCTGCCGCCCCTCAGTATGAGTGAGTAAGTCTGGAGCAGGTGTGCGGCGGGCTGGGTTCAGGGCTGTGCATGCGGGATCTGGCTGATCTGGAGTTGGCCCACTCTGTTGGGTTGAGTCCAGAGTGGGTGTGGGGTAGGCTGGGATCAGAGCTGTGCGCGCAGGTCCCTGACAGTACCATAGGACTGGGGTCAGCAGCAGCCAGAAGGAGCTGCCACTTCCTGGGCTGTCTAAAAAGGTAGTCCTGCTATGGAGCCACCACAGCCCTGCTGTGTGCCCATGGGGCAGTGGGATGCGCTACAGGCAGGATGACACCTGGGCCAGGTGGAACCGAGGGACCTGCTACAGGCTGGAGAAAGTCCCTCCATGGGCCGAATCCAGCCCAGGGGCTGTATTTTATCCACCCCTGCCCTAGTGGTCCACCTGCAGCACAAAGCAAACCGAAGAAACAGGCTCAACTGCAAGAGGGTCTGGGTGCTCTGTTTATGGCTCCAATCCCTAAGCCTAGCATATGATGGACCTTGTCCCTAATTTTCCCTTGATATCCCTGGTGCTCAGCTCCATGACAAGATATAGCCTCCATGCCACCCTGCTCCCTCACCTTATGCCTCAGTGCTATGCTAGCTTCTTCTGCCCCTGCAAGTGGGTGCCTGTCCTCATGCTGCTTCCACATCTAACCATCCTCCATTCCTGGCTGATGAATACTTTCTCCCCCACAGCTCCCTCCTTAAGTCACTGCTTCCAGGCACCATTCCTTCCACTCCTTGTCCCATATCTACCCTCAATCTCCCTGCCCCAGTCAGCTGTCCCATGTGCCCTGCCTATCACTGAGGATACAGCCTGGAGGGCAGGGAATTCATGCAGTGATGAAAGGTTGGAGTAACTTATGATCACTCACAAATCCTGGGGCACTGACACTATGGCCAGTGCAGACCAGGCAGAGACTGCTTACTTAGTTGTTTTTGTCTTTTCACAGTTTTGATGAAGCCAGCCACTGCTTTGGAAAGCTTATTCTATTGCTGATTTCATCTACAAGGTGCAAATCTACCTGCCTGCTGTTGTAACCAGTTAGACTGGGAATGCACATGGCCATTACCTACCCACAGCACAAAATAAGTTCCCTTCCTGGTTGGGATGGCACCAGCATTCTCCTCCTCCAAAGACCCCAGTGGTATTACTGTGGCACCCCTGCCAGCTCAGGGGGAAGACTGCACATGCCATGTGACCCCTCCAGGAGTAGGAATGGAATTTTCCTCCCTCTCGTGACTGACCACTCAGGAGGTTCCACGTACCTCTCTACATGATCCACCCAACTCCTTGCCCCAGACTTGCTAGGACATTATAAGGCTGCTCCTAAGCCGCTTGCTTCGGACTCTTCTCCGTCTAGCTAGCTAGTTTGCTGCCGGTCTGAGGTAACAATAGAAATGTCACCCCAGCCTGAAACTGCCTTTCCTCCATCAGCATGGGACAGTGACGCAGCCTTGTCCACAGCACCATGCTGCCATCACCAGATAGGTGCAGAAAGGAATGACCATACAGCGGTGGGAGTCTCCTGCAGCTCTGGCCCAAATCCCTGTCAAGGGCCAGGGGAGCCCCAACTGGTTGTCCTTACCAACTCGGTAGGCAGAGTGGAGGTAGTGCAGGCCCTGAGGGCTCACAGGTTGGCTGTGTTGTTCATCCTCGGCAGGAAAGCCCCCTGTAACAAGGGAGTTGGGCTGGGAGGACAGAGCCGTCAAAGAAGCCCCTTGAATTGCTGGGAAGGTTGACCCCGCATGGACACTTCCTACTGGAGAGGAAAAAACACAGCAGCATTAGGGCACAAGCCTCCATGCTGTTCTGATAACCCAGCTGCAGCAACACACTGACTCCTTTTAACTGAAGCCAGCTGACAGGTGAGAAGATGTCAGGAAGTAAACAAGACTACAGCGCTGGTGCCACCGTGAAAGCTTTGGCTTCTATGACCACGGCCCACACTTCAGAGAGCCAGAGTTATTGGGAAAGGACTGCCTCCACCTCACACACAGGGAAGAAACTCTTCCCAGCCAGAATGGCTGACCTGCTTGACCAGGCTTTAAACTAAGTTCTCCAGGGGAAGGGCAGATAATCTCTGGTGTAAGCCTACTAGCCACCAAACCATCAGGTCAGGCTGTACAAGGAAACAAACTCCTACCCCACCCCAGAGATGGGGCTCTTCCAGGAGTGCAGAGAAACCAAGGGCTGCTGATGGCAAGCTCACTTGCCTTTACACAAATGCAAGAAGCCTGGGCAACAAACAGGAAGAGATGCCCCTACTCCCAAACAGTAATGATCATGATCTCATAGGAATAACAGTGACCTGGTGGGACTCCACCTATGACTGGACCACAGGTATAGATGGCTATACCTTGTACAGGAGAGACTGTGTTGCAAAAAAAGGTGGGGGTGTAGCTCTCTGTGTGAAGGGGCAATACATTTCCCTACATGCAGAGATTGGCAACCAAGAAGAGTGACTTGAGACCCTCTGAGTAAGGATAAGGAGGGGGAACATGGTAAAGGGGATATAATGGTAGGACTCTACTACAGACCTCCTAATCAAGAGCAAGAACTTGACCATGAGTTCACCAGGAAACTGGCTGAGGCTTCACGCTCTTGGTGCATGGTTGTCATGGGGTGATTTTAACTACCTGGACATCTCATGGGAAGGGCACTCAGCCAAATCTGACTGGTCGCAATGCTTCCTCACAAGCACTGATGAGCTTTATTTGTCTCAAGAAGTCTACAGACTGACAAGAGGCAAGGCGCTGCTGTGGACCTGGTACTGGCCACAGGGGATGATCTAAATCAGCAGGCTGAGAATTGAAGGGAAGCTGGGAGACTGTGATCATGAGTTGATCACTTTCTCCATTCACCACAAAGCTGGCAAGTCAGTCAGCAATACCAAAGTCCTCAACTTCAGAAAGGCCAACTTCCACAAGCTTAGGAAGCCAGTTATTCAGGCCCTGAGAAATCACAATCTGGCAGGGAGAAATGTCCATGATGAATGGCTGCTCCTCAAGGATGCAAGCCTTGAAGCACAAGGGAAGTCCATTCCAAGCTGCAGAAAAAATAGTAAAAGGACTGGACAGCCCCCTTGGCTCAATAGGGAACTCAAGGACCTCTTGCACCTAAAAAAGCAGCTTATAAAGGATGGAAGATGGGAAACATCACTAAGGAGGAGTACTCAGCACTAGCCCACACGTGTAGGGAGCAAGCTAGGAAAGTCAAGGCTGGAAGTGAGCTCAAACTGGCCACTCAAATTAAGGACAACAAAAAGTCCTTCTTCAAATATGTGGGAAGACAGAAAAAGCACAAGGGTAACATTGGACCCTTACTAAACTAAGTGGGGCAACTGATAACCAACACTCAGGAAAAAGCCAATCTCTTTAATGACTACTTCATGTTGGACTTCCATCAGTCCAGTGGTACCACCCTGCCTGACAAGAGGCAGGATCATCAGGGGAAGCATGAACCTGCGCCCACCATTACCACCGATCTTGTGAACGAACATCTTAAAAGACTCTACACCCACAAAATCAGCCGACCCAGATGAAATGCACCCAGGAGTGCTAAAGGAACTAGCTAACATTATAGCACAGCCTATGGTGAGGATATTCAAGAACTGGTGGTGCTCAGGCGAGATGCCTGATGATTGGAAAAGGGCTGATGTGGTGCCTATCTTCAAGGAAGGAAGAAGGGAAGATCCAGGGAACTACAGGCCAATTAGCTTGACCTCAATCCCTGGAAAGATCCTGGAAAAAATCATCAAGGAAACTATTACCAACATCCTAACAGAAGGTAATGTTCTGAGAGAGAGCCAACACGGCTTCACGGCACAGGTAGATCTTGTCTGACCAGCATGATTTCCTTCTGTCCAGGTGATGCGTCACCTGGTCATAAAGGAGAAGAAGCGGATATCATATTCTTGGACTTCAAGAAAGCCTTTGACCTGGT